AATAATAATAATAATAATAATAATAATAATAATAATAATAAGATAGTAGAGGAGCTCTGTCGGCAATTGGCAATGGCGAATGAAACGTTCTTCTTCAAATTTATATGAAAGAGTCCTCCAGTGGAAGCACCATCGTCATCTCCTTCACCATGAACACCTTATCTATCCTCTGCTCTGCGTGATCGGCCACCTGATCATCGGCACCCCGCGCTTCACAGTACCTAGTTTCATTGACATATGAGGCAAGAATAAAATCAATTCATTATAGCAATTGCAATTTCCACATCATAACATAATTTTCAAATAATCATAATAATATATAAAAAAAAAGAAAGAAGAAGAAGAAGATGAACTGACGCACCCAAGTCATCCCAGCGGCGCGAACCTGCCGTACTTCATGATCTGCCGAAACTCGTTGAAGTTGACCCTCCTGCAGTCGTGTGGGTCGATTCGAGAAACAGAAAATCCAAAAAAGAATAAAACAAAGAAATTCGATTTTATTTTTCTTGCCTGAAGCTTGTCATCCATTATGATTTGTGGTGTTCTCATCGTTTGCTAACCAAAACTTGATCCTTTCTGATCCGTCGAGCGTGAAAGAGATTTTTTCACTGTTTCACTTCCTTGTGATCATGCAGCGTTATCGAGCCATGACTCCTTCTCCGGCACGTGGATCCCGAGATTCTCCAGCGACTCACCGAGCTCCTCTCATCTGATCTTGTCGCCCCATTCTTATTGAGCATGGAGAAAACCCGACGGAGCTCCGACGTGCCGATCTCCTCATGTGGAGGATGGAGCCCAAATTGTTCGGCGATAATTGTTTTGGATTGATATATATGATTATGATCGGTGGACTTATTCATAGATTAGATAAAATATCACAAGTTCATTTTAATTGTCCATAATTTTTTGTGTATTGTTAGAATTAAGTTTGATAATTATGGATACAAAATACACTTATTCCTAAAATTTAGCTGCATATAAATCTGTCACTCAAAATTCAGCCACAAAAAAAAAAA